GGTGGTGGTGGTGGTGATGATGTAGTTGCACCATTAAAAATATGGAAAAATCTTCGGCAAATCAATTTATCTGATAATGCATTGACATTTATTCCCAATGAGCCACTCATATATCTTACAAAATGTACACATATAGATCTATCGAACAATCTGCTGATTGAAATTCCGTCCGGATTATCACAATTGTACAATTTACAATGTTTGAATCTTAGTAATAACATGATTGAAACAATAACAGGTATTTACAAAATACTTGGTAATGTAACAAAATTGGATTTAAGATCTAATCGAATAGAGAATTTATGTGGTTTGGAAAGGTTATATTCATTGGAGTATGTTAATATTAGAGAAAATCAATTGATTGATTGGGCTGAAGTTACTCGAATGACTGAACTGCCTGAGATAAGACAAATTTGCGTTGATGGTAATCCATTCACGGAATATGAGACTAATTATAGGATTAATATTTTTAAAGCATTTAAAGAAAACAATAAAGATATTATTTTGGATGGGATGGTGATTGGACGTTAAGTGAAACTAGTAGATTTTGTTGTTGCATCGGTGAAGCAAATGGATTGCTATTATTACCACTGTTAATGTTATTATTAGTAAAAGCAGGAGGAGAAAATTGTCCAAAAGGATTATGAGGTGAAGAGGCTGTCATTGCAGTTGTTTGTTGCAATTGTCGTTGTTGATCTTGAAATAACATTGAAGAACGAAATGGATTTGTATCAGATGATAATGATGATGAAGATGCAGATATAGGATTTAACATTAATGATGATTGCTGTTGTTGATTAATAATAGGGGAAGATTGCTGTAATTGTTGTTGCAGAACCAATTGATTTTGACCAGCTAAGAATGGATTAGTGGTTGTATCCGTAATAGTAGTAGTAGTCATAATATTACTCCTTCCTAATGAATTATTATTAATTATTATATTATTATCAACATATTGATTACCAAAAAGTAAAGTTTGTTCACTTTCAATATTAGAAGAAAAATCTATAAAGTCCATCTGATTATGATTTGCCGCAGTTTTAGAAATGGATGAAGCTGAAGTTGCATCCTTTTTGGTCAAAAAGTTTGCATTACTGTTATTATCACTGGAGCATATAGTCGTTGTTGCTCCATCTTTTCTTGTGGCAGATTTATTATTATTTTCATTTTTACTTTTTTCTTGCGTATTTCTATATTCTCGTCTATTTGCTTCAAAATTTGGATCTTCGACATAATCTTGCAATGCAATTGTCAATGAGACTGGTGCCTAATACAATAAATAGTATATGTATATGGAATAAATTATATACACAAATCTATTTCCAAGTATAAACACATACATATATAATAACTTACATGTTTTAAGTTGGGTATTTTGATACCAAGTACACTTTGTAATTTTTGAGCAGCCCTTAGATAAATAACAACTTTTTCAGTTTGTTTCACAAATTTTTTATAAATTTCTAATCCATCTTTTGCATCTATTTGTGACATACTAACAAATTGTTCTATATGCGCGAAGAGTATGTGACGTTAGTGAATTAATAAATTAATTAAAAGTTTTTACACACAAATCAAATCAAATTAAAAACAACAACAAAATAAAATCAAATATAAATAAAAGCTTATTACACCTAACATATTAATAACGCCTTCATTCGTTGTTTCAAAAAGTACTAGCAAGTCGATGACAATAAGTCTGAATGCTGTCAATGTTACATAATTAGCAACCTCGTCCAGATAAAACTAATTAAAATAAACGGATATATAAATTTATATTAAAAACCATATATATTAAGCACAAATATATTCATACCTTACAATTTAATAAAGCATCTAATTGTCGTTGAAGAATCTTAACTTCTCGCAAAAGACCCTTGGCAACTGTAAGTCTTCTTAAACGACTATTATTCTCTAATTTCTTTTCTTTAACAAAATTGACCTTTAACTCTCGATATACTGAAACCTTTTCTTCCAAGTATGCAGCGTATGAATGAATATTTTTAGTTTGTTCGGCTCCTTTATATTATTATTATCACAATATTAATTGATTTTTGAAATTGAAATTTAAAAACACTAATGTTTTGGTAATAACTAATAAATTATTATTATTATACCATTGCCTATTCCTGATCCTTTAAAACCTGACAAATTTAAAATATTTGGTTTTCTAACTAAATAACTTAAAACTTGACCATCAACCCCTTTTCTCATCAAAATATGAATCACAATAAGACTTTTGAATACGATCTTTTTTCAAAAAAAAAAAAATTTAAGTCAATTAGTGTTAATAAATTAACAATTAACAAGTTTTTCGCTAAAATTATTCTCTTTATATAGCGAATACTTACCGTCCAAGAATTTTCTCGTAAACGATGTTCTAATGACGCAAATATTGTTTTCAAAGCATCACTACTTGAAGTTGCTGGTATGAGAACTATATAAATAATATGTAAATTAAAATACCAATAGAATTTAAAATTATAAATGTCAAAGATGAGAAAATTTTACCCTCAAGATATTTTTGTTTAGGTGCTGCACATTTTGATTTAGTTGCTCCTTTGACTGCTCTGTCCATTATTTTTTTCTGAATATTTTATAATTTGGATTTTACCAACCAAAAGGGTTATTTAAATTAATTCGTGATAAAATTTTAGGTGGTACAAAAAACCTTTCTATTATATTGACCGTGTATATATTTCCATTTGCAGGTCACAAACTTAATTATGACGCGCTTAATATTAATTTTAGACCCTGATCACCAGTTACTCAAATTTGAAAAAAATGTCAACAAATTTATATTTGTAAATGAAATAAAAATAATTAATAATACCAATAATAAAAATAAAATATACTTCTAATAATAAATAACAATGGCACCAACAGCAACTGCTCGAGAAAACGTCAAAGTTACTGTTCGATTACGACCACCAAATGAAACTGAACTTACTAGAACCGATTTTAACATTTGGGACGTTGATTTCAATGAACACAAATTATCATTAGAACAAATTTTTGCTGAAAAGAATCGTAAACAAATAAGTGAATTTTTTTATGGTTTGTATGCATGCACTGTGTGTTATACACATAATCATTATAATTTTTATAATTGGAAATGAACTATATCATCACCACCACCACCACCATCATCATCATTACCATTATTCTTTTTTTCATTAATAACGACATCATTAACAGTAATAATTTTATCATCACCAGTATCTTCATTACCATAACCATCATTATCTTTTGCTGCTGCTGCTTTTGCTGCTGCTTCTTTAACCATTGTGTTTCTTTTTTTAAATCCATCAGCTACCAGATCAATAAATAATTCAGTAATGTCATCAATTGGGCTTTTAGTTAAAGTTAATATTTCCAATTTCTCTTGTACAACGTCCCAACCATCAAAAACTTTTGGTGATAATCCATAAATTTCTAAATTTGTCAAGTTTTTAAACAGGGTTATTGACAATGTAGCAGTTAAAGGCCAACCAACGCCATCAATACCAACTCTAAAATTGTCATCGTTATTATTGTGGGTGCCAAAACCATCAATTCTTTTATTATTAATTGTAGAATTAAGTTTTAAATTGGTGAGTTTAGTGAAACTTTTGTAAATGTAGTAAACCTCACTTTTTATTGGTATGTTTTCATTTTTTTGAGCTGCATTGGTCCAACCTTGCCAACCCGAGAATAAGGATAATGAAGACATGGCAGATGATATTGAATTGATTGAATTGATTGAGGTAATTGACGCAGTTTCCAATGATGAGTCATTAACATCAAAATCCATATCTTTATTATCAAAATTTATAATTGCTTCAAAGACACCAATATCAAGCCCTATATCGTTAAATCTTGCCAATAAATAGTATAAGTGATGGGGATCAAGTGTAACAAATACAGGCCTTTTTGAATTATTATTGCCTATAGGGCTAACGGGAGAAGTTGGAGTTGTTGAAACAGGCGAGGTTGGAGATTTCATGTAAGAACTTGCAAGAGCAGTAGAGAAAGACCAGAAACTTGGTATACCATAACCATTTCCTAAACTATTTTCTGACATTCGAGTACCCAATAAATGACCTGAAGAAGACTGTTGTTGTAGGTTTTGCATAGTTATTTTACGTTCGTTGGCTCGGATGAATTGAGCTAATGTACGAATAAATTGATCTCCAGTAACATTTGTTGTAGCATTATTGTTGCTCATTTTTTTCTTTGAATATAAAATTTATTATGTAAAGGAGAGAAAATTAAATTTTTTTATTTTTATAAAGGGAAAGAAGGGGTTTTTCTTCCTTTTTGTAGATCAACCACATATTAATTACCCCATCTGGCTCGTGTAATTTCCCCAATTAAGTATTTTGAATAAAATTGAAATTAATAAGTTTTTTTTATTTAATGAATGAATTATATAAATAAATAAATACATAAAAAATAAATATACGATATATATATTATATAGCGATGTATTGATAATAAATAAGAAAATAAAAAATTTATTTTTATTTCTTTCCTTCCTTTCTTCTTGCTTTCACTTTCTTGCTTCCGTATTTCTTTCTTGACTCTGCCTTCCATATTCTCCTTCCACTATCAACATTGTTCTAAAAAGATCATTTCTTTGCGTTTGCTAACCTACAAATTTTTTCCCATAAATAATATAAATCTTCCTCACTGCCTTCAGAAACAATACCAAATTTCAATACGATATCGCCTCTGACTTCATGTTTGGATGATTTACTTTGTAGGGTGAAGGCAGCAGGTTGATTTTTAGGATCTTCAAAAGTTCTTGGCTGGCCATCGTTCAAACCACCATTGTTACGAGCAAATATTCGACTAATTGGTATGCTAACCTCACCTAAATAATCCCTCAAGAACTTATCTTTATCCCATACAGTTATTGTGATGCAAGGTGGTATGTCAGGTTCTGATAGTTTAACATCAAACGAAGTGTCCCAAACTGGATTTAAATTTTCTTTAATCACTTTTGTCTCAAATTTTTTATTTGCTACTCGTATAACTGCATATGGATCTGATAACCCATTCTTGTCACTATAAAAAAATTTAGTTTTTTGATTAATGTATATAATGCTTATTTTTAATGCAAACATATAATAGATGAATTACTTACGCTGGTGCTAAATCTCTTGCCGCAAGAATTCCTATACGAAGTATTACATCCATAATATAATAAAAAAATTAGATTTATATGTCATAAAAGTCATAAAAACCAACAATATATATATCTGCAATTTATTTTTTATTAGAAATAAATAGAATTAATAAAACAGAGAGATATAAAAAAATTTTTATAAATAGTAATTATAATAGATTCATTCTATGAAAAAAAATAGGGTCAGAAAAAAAAGGAACAATTTAAATGTTCAACAGACTTCCTAATACGTTTTATAAATGGTAAACGGGAAAATAAATTCATCTATTACTATTAACTATTACTATCAATGTGAAGATTTTTTCAAAGTTAAAAGTAAACACAACTGATGCCTTTTTAAATGTAGGGTGCGACCGCAAATTTGTTTAACGCTCATATTAATTTCAGCTTCTTTTAATAAAATGTAGTTGACAATAGGAGATGTTTCCATCCAAATAGTGCTTGGGAAAGAATCGAGAGTTTGAAGGAAAAAATTTTGTCCAAGTTTTTAATTTATAATAAAAGCGAATCTTGGAAGAAATGCAAAATTTATTTTATTGAGAAAAGAACAATTATGATATGATTTTTTTCTTATCGATGGGCATGAACAGAGCTTTACTGTCCTTTATCCTTTTGCTCATAATAATAAATGTTGCCACAAGTAAACATAACGAATTTGTTATTAATCGTATTTTACATAGTATAGATTTCGGACTAATATAATCCTGTTTGAGTATGAGATTTTTCTAAAAATAAAATTATTAATAGAATCGCTATATCAGGAATTAAAATGTTATTTGAAAGCCAGTTTAAATCACGATTTGATTTTTTTTAATGATAAATCTGAGGAGGCTGATGCAAAGTTTCTAAAACTGGAGAACCAATGTTATACATGCAATATCAGAGAAATGTTTTTGTAGAACAACTAATTACAAAACAATAGGCACAAATATAGAGATGATTATAATCAATTTATGCTAATTACAGATATGGTGTGTTGGAGAATTTAAGCGGAGTCGTGGTAAAATAAATATATTAATAGCATTCAGGTATTCTCTATATTAATGATTTTATTATAAATACAATATTACGGTCAATAATGACCATAATATAATCACAAACACATTATTAACAATTAATATTATTTGACCAAGTATAATATCTCTTGACCAGAATTCTGTGTTGTCGAAGATGTTGTTCACTTGGCATCTTCATAATTTTTTCATCCTTTTTCTTGTAATATCTTATAATAACAAATGATGCCACTACTACAATCATTATTAATCCAGCTGAAATTGGAAGTACTATTATTAATATTTTAATAATAATTTGTGATGATGTTTCTGGTTGTGATTTTGATGATGTTGATGATGATGATGGTGGTGGTGGTGATGGTGGTGGTGGTGGTGGTGGTATTGGTGTTAAATTTGCTTCAGATGCTGAATAACTTGATTTCCAACTATAATCTTTAATATCAAGTATATGAGTGTCTGCACTAGATGATTTTGGATTTGTGTCATTATTTGTAACATTTCCTATATATATGTATGTAATTTTATTTTATATTAATAAATTTTAGGTTGGAAGGAATAAAAATTTGTTTTTAAAGGAAAAACTTACCAAAACTTAT